CCCTTTAGGAGAAAAGACTTCTCCACCTTCGCAAATATGTCCTTTAGGAGAAAAAGATAACTCAAAAAATCTCCACCTTAGCAAATATGTCCCTTAGGAGAAAAGACTTATCTCACCATCTCCACCTTCACAATTAAGATTCATCAGCATGTACCACGTCCGTAGCTTCCTGCTTCTTCAACTCCTTCCAATCAGCCTCTTCCAGATCAGCTGGCTTTTCCGCCTTCAAGGTTTTCAGAAGGCCTTGTTGTGCCAACAAATCTTTTACCCTAGATTGCCATAACCCAAAATTCCGTGGTTCATACCAAATCCATGTCCCCTCCTGGTATCCACGCTGCCCCTAACACAACAGCGCCCCTGCAAAGTCACACTAAACTCGTGTGCCTTGCCCAATGCTCCACTAACCATCAATTACCACTGGTCAGCAACACGCACCACGCAGCATCAAACGTTTCCCCGTGCATGTTCACGAACTGCTTCGTCCCAAGCAATCCGTAACACCAAGCCATATTAGCCTAGCTCATACCAGCCGTGACTCATGACAAGCCCGACTCATACCAGGTCCATATCCCCTCCTGGTATCCACGCTGTCCCTAACACAACAGCCCCCCTCACCACCTTCTCATCTAGCATCTAGAAACGCCCAATAAGTCCAAACAATGTTCGAACTTGTTACTAGTTACCGCTAAAACATCACCTAGTGTATCTTCTTTCTTTGACTGGAACATGAAATTCTCATCAAACACTGCATCTCTGCTAATCACCACCTTTTTGGTTGCAGGATCCCAAAACTTATATCCTTTTACACCTTTCTTATAACCCAAAAAGATGGACTTCTTCGACTTGGCATGTTACTTGATCAATAGATCACCACGGACATCACTTGGTGGCAAGGTTCCTGAGGAGGTTTGGTTAGGTAATCCTGTAAGTTTTGATCACTTACGAGTTTTTGGTTGTCCTAGCTATGTGCTTATTCCAGGTGATGAGCAATTTGTTGAGATTAATAAGAACAAGAAAAATAATAATGGCAGTAAAGGATAAAGAAAACAAGATTTACGTGGTTCGGCAATGTGCCTACATCCACGGGAGTGAAACAATACTCTTATTCATAGTGATGGTGATAGTGGTGACACACAACCCTTTAGGGATACAACACATATATTTAAAGGCATCCAATCCCTATACAATAGGTCTACCCGTTTCTCTCCTACTCCTAGTATGAGACAAACACTTATTCCTAATCCATATATGAGACAAACTCAACAATCTCCACCTTGGCAAATATGTTCTTTAGGAGAAAAGATAACTCAATAGGTTACCATCAATTTTAGCAGGTTACCTGCTTACGTGACATCGGAGTTAGCATTTTTAATAATTTTTAATAAGTTTAAAAAAAATTGAAACAAAATTAAAAACAAAAACTAACAAAACAAAAAAAAAAAAACAAAAAACAAAACAAAAAACAAAAAAAAAAAAAACAAAACAAAACAAAACAAAACAAAACAAAAAAAAAAAAAAAAAAAAAGACGGGGGTGACCTCCCCACCCCACCCCTCTTCCGCCGAAGACGGAGGAAGAGAGGGGGTGGGGGGAGGGGTTGCTGGCGGCCACTCTGTAGATTTTTTTTTTCTAATTTTTTTTAAATTTATTATTAAAAATTATTAAAAATGCCAACTCAGCTACCACGTAAGCATGTAACCTGTTAAAATTGATGGTAACTTACTATCAGGTGAAATTGCACGTTTTTGGAATGTTCAGTGGCCTAATTGCATTTTTTTTTTTCCGTTCAGTGGCCTAATTGCATTTTCAGATTACGTTCAGTGGCCAATTTGAACCTTATTCCTAATTATAATTAACTTAATAAAAAATATAAGAGGCAATTTCAATTTTGATCATATGACTATAGGGGTCTTGTTAATTTCAGTCATTGACTTTTAAAAGTGTCAATTTTGTCCCTTAACTATGCAATTTTTGTCAATTTTGGTCACTCCGGCCAAATTGTCGGCCAAATTTCGCTGGAAAATTTTAATTGTTAAAATAATGAGGGTATTTTGATCATTTCACGTCTATTTTCTTCTTCCCAGGCGAGTCCATCCCTTCCTCTCCTGTTTCCGGTGAATGCAATGAACTAAGATGATGGGGAAAGGAGGCTTGATGATATTAAAGATAGAGTTTAGAGGGAGAAAGAACACCGAAAACGGGAGAGAAAGAGATGGACTCGCCATAGAAGAAGAAAAGAGGCGTAAAATGACCAAAATACCCTCATTATTTTAACTATTAAAATTTTTTGGCGAAATTTGGCCGGCAATTTGACCGGAGTACTAAAATTGACAAAAATTACATAGATAATGTACTAAATTGACACTTTTAAAAGTCAATGACTGAAATTAACAAGACCCCTATAGTCATATGACCAAAATTGAAATTTCCTCAAAATATAATTAAGTCAATGAAATTATAAAATTAGCCAGTGTGTATTTATAAATATTTAAAAATTTACTTAAATACATGCTCATATACTTATTCACTATATTAATCATACAAAATTAAAATACTAATTTTAAAAATTTCTAATGTAATTATCTTAATTATAAATCTGGCAATATATATTATAATTAGGGAAATTATATAATAAAATTTGCTTCAATACATATTAATAAATGTTATCTGCATATACAATGATTACATAATCATATAAGGAAATATTTCTGGTTATCGATTAAATCTACTCATCATATAAAATTTAATATTATATCTTTTGATTTCGAAATATAATTCCCTTAATTATTATCCATCTTGTTGGAATTATAATATATATGAAATACGATTAGGAATAAATTAATTTAATTATGTAAATTTCGTTTATAAATTTATCTAAACATGTAAATGATTAAATATTATATTAACTATACAAAATTTTAATTTTTATTTTGAATGCAATGAGAATACATACCTCAACGGCAAATTCTTCTATGGACCATGAATACAAGGTACATTTTTAATATATTAAAAATACATTATTTGTGTACTGAATGTACATTATTTAATATTATACAAAACAATGTATTTTCAGTATTCAAATAATATACTTTCAAATAATGTACTTTACGTACACAAATAATATACTTTTAGTATATTAAAAATATACTTTTTATTTATGGTCCGCACAACTGTGTGGAACTATGGACCATGGTCCATGGTCCATGGAATAATGGTTGAGGTTCAAGTGTTCAACTATATTATCATATTGTATATTTTAACATATTTTCATTTCTACAATGTAACAGAGCTAGTAGCATTCAAAAAAAAAAAAAAAAAAAACATATTTTCATTTCTTTCTATTTTTTTTATTTAAATTTATGATAACATAATTTTTTTTCGTGCATCACACAGGTAAAACACTAGTTGTATATTATAGTTGATTGATATATTGGGAATAAGACCAAAGCTATTCTACCCGAGGAAGTGGAGCAAGGAGGATTCGAGTGGACTCGGACCCCGAGGTTGAGCCCCGTGCTGCACCCGGGCTGCCTAGGCCATGGCCGAGCCCCAGCGGGGGGGTGGGGGGAGGGGGTGGCCTCGGCCAGCCAACCCGTAGTCCCGGTTGTGAGACCGGACGCGGTCAAAGGTTGTTTTACCCGTTTCCCCCTTTTTAGGGGGGCGGTTGAGGGGTTTGGTTAGTATAAAAACCTTTGTAATTGTCTCATTAAGACATCTTCACTTCCATTGTCTAAATACAAGTCCTATTGTAATAGCATTACACAACGTATTAATACAATCTTTTGTCTCCGTGATCCACATTTATTGTCTTTTCCATTATATATATGATCTATTTCCATTATCCATTTATTATTTTTTATTTATCAAGTTTGATAATTCAGACCACCCGAATGAATTAAATCCATCAATAGTAATAATAATTATTATTATTGGAATTATTATTATTTATAAAACATAGTAATAATAATTTTCTTCTTTTTTTTAGTAGAGTATGAAGCACCGTCGTTTATCATTGTTGATTGTCGATGCCCATCATAGGCAACCCTAGCTTCATTTGAATCAGACGAAGCATACTTTAACCTTGTTTGGAAAATGGTGGTTAGTGAATTGTATTAGCAATTTTGACAAGTGAATTGTATTAACAATTTGTAAAAGAATGATAAAATTAATTCTTTGATATTAGACGATTTGTAAAAAAAAGTTTGATAAAATTAATTCTTTAATATTAATAGTTAACATGTAAAAGCTCTCTTTATTCTTTCATTTTTTCCACATCCATGGGAAAAGTGAAATTAGAGCCCTGAGGCTCCTAAATTATTTGAATTGCTTGCCAGCCCATTCGAATTAGTCAAACTCACACTTGAATGGTTTATTAAACTTGTTTAAGGCTGTGTTTGAAAACCCGGAAAATAATTTCTAGAAATCATTTTCCGGGTTTTTAGTGTTTGGCTACACTTGAAAAATTCAGTCAACGAAAAACATTTTCCGTTGACTGGGAAAAATGTGCTCAATTTGGCGGAAAATGACTTCGGCCAAATTTTGGCAGAAGTCATTTTCCGCCCTTGCTATTTCTTTTTTTCTTTTTTTTTTTTTTTTTTGGCTTCTGGCAGAACTGGTTTCCGTCAGAAACCATGGCTGTGGTTTCCGACGGAACTGGTCCAGATTTTTTTTTATATAGTTTTAAACATTTTTAAAATGTATTTTTTATTCTAAATAAAATAATTAAAATATTTAATTATACCATTCTACTCATTTTCCAGAAAATGAACCAAACACACAAAGCAGTTTTCCAAATGCAACCAAACATTGGAAAAGGAAAATGTTTTCCGAAAAATGACTCATTTTTCAGAAATCATTTTTCAGAAGTCATTTTCCTGCTTTCCAAACGGAACCTAAAGTTTTAAATTTTATACAAACCCGAGACTCGGGGAGTCAAGTAAGTTAATCATACAAACTGTTAAACACTTGGTTATAATTCCCAATAGTGAAAAACGACCAGAATTAGAACTTGGCTGAAATATAAACCAAAATCGACTATAACATTTAGAAACAAATTCGTTGGCCTGCAATAGAATGTTGTCACACTAGTACCACTTTGATCAATGGGAAAACCCGCCTTGTGATCCTAGCCGTCAAAAGATCTATGTTGCTCATAGTTGACCGGCTCAAACTAAGAAAAGGCAATAGACAGCTCTGACAGAAAGACGAGGCCAACTGTCCAACCAACTTAACTAAAATTGCCTGGTAAGAATTTTGTTGTTGTTCTTCTTCTTCTACCAAATGTTTGAAGACAGTAACTAACCTTTTTCCATGATTGAAAATCAATGGGTGATAAAGATGAGAAGTTAATTCAAAAGTGGCCTTTCCATCAACCTGCATGATATTGCAGCAGAATAGTAAATTTAAAGAAAACTGCACAAGAAAATGAAACCGAACAAATGAAGCAATGAAACTAGAATCTTCTATCGCACAACAATCTTACCTCCGGATCCTTTTCCATCTCGGCAGCAAACTGTCCAATTGAACCAGGATGCAACTTTACATTATCACCGAGGAACAATACATGGTTCACTAAAGACACAACACTATCAACTTACTATGTTAAGAATCATTTTCCACAACCTTGAACTTGCCTTTGTTTACAAAGAGGTTGTTTCGATGGCTCAAATACATAAGCAAAATGATCAAAAGGGGAGAATTTGAACAGTAGACCAAGTGAAGCCTTAAAGAATTAATGTATACGATGACAATATGCTTTCCTCAGTAAGATCATAAATAGAGACTTAGAACAAAAGAGAAGTTTGTTAACCACAAACTCTCATGGAACACATGAAATTGATTTAAAGTAACTTACAACCTGATTTTATAAAACTACAGGATTAGTTTGCTTGTCCTGCAACTGACTATTTGTACGGTAGTTTCTGCCAATCAAGTAATGAAGGAGGACGCCTGCTGCAACGCTTACATTCAAGCTCTCTACGGCCATGAATGGCTTGAAGTTACGACTCGAATAGTCATTATCTGTTTCAGCATCTATTGCATCTTCATCTCCCTTTGCAGTTATATCGACTGGGATGTTACCTGGAATCATAACCAGTTGAGTACATGACCTCTCGACCAATGGCCTCAAACCGGTGCCCTCACTGCCCAAAACAAGAATTGTAGGAACACCCTGTTCAACGTCATTCAAAGGAACAGCTCTTGAAGAGACTGAGCCTCCTAAAACCCGCCAACCATTATCAGCCGAAGATGTCAAGAACTGCATCATATTCTTGCAAGATCGAACCTCCATTAACTCGAGAGAGCCTGCACTTGCTTTGCTCACGACCCCACTCAATGGAGCAGAGTTCTTAGCGCACAAAACCACCCCTGAAGCTCCAAAGAAGTAAGCAGATCGAATAATTGCTCCTAGATTCTGAGGATCAGTTACCTCATCCAGAGCTAACCAAAGAGGGGCATCGTCTCCCTCAACCAAAACAGGTTCTAATTCTTTAATGCTAACCATTTCTAATGGAGAAGCATCGAGGACTAACCCTTGGTGGGGCCTGTTATCAGCAACCATGTTGAGGTCATGTTTAGACACCTCCTTTGTACACAAACCAATTTTTTCGGCCATCTTCAAAACTCTCTCAACTCCTTTCTTATCCTTCTTCTTCCTATTGTTTCCACTCAAATCCAACCCTTCTTGAACATACAAAGCATAGAATTCCCTCCTTTCAGCAGATAAAGCAGCCAAAACCGGACCAACCCCATAAACCCCTTCACCAACCATTTTTGGTACTGATGATTCTGTAGCCTCTTTCCATGTCTTCCGACCCCAATTTTCCTGATTATTCCACCTCTTAACCACAGGCCTGTCAGAGCCATTTGTCACTTTAACTCTATTAAACCTATTCTTGATCTTATCCCATCTAGGATCATCAACTTCCTCAGTTTCTTCTTCCTCTTCTACTTCACCATCATAATCTTTATCCTTGCCCTCATTCCTTCTGCCATCGTATCTCCTAACTTCAACATCTTCCACACTAGAAACACCACCTTTCAAGTACTTCTCTGCAGATTCCTCCCAAGCAGACCGGCTTGTTCTCATTGCCATCACTTTCTCAGAATTTTTAGCTTGTTTAGCTTTATCAATTGCTAGCCATGGCAGATTCTTTCCACTGCCTCTAGCACCTTTACCCGAATAAGAACTTGAAAAACACCTACCACTAATTAATTGACAACTCCCCGCAAAAACTCTACTCGAAAAATTCCGGTTATTGACTGAGATATGAATGAGATTTAACAATGGGCACTTTTCTTGGGATTTTCCAGTGAACCCATTAGAAAAGTTCCCAGATTTCAATGCGAATGTATGACTTAGTGCTTTTGGGTGGCACATAATCAATAAAGATTGAGGCTTTGTATGAAGTTGCTTCAGCATAGTGGGCTGCTATGAATAAAACTTCAAAAGATATGTATAAAACAGCTTGAACTGAACAGGGAATCTGGAAATAATGCTATACTAGTTAAAGTTCATAGATGATGATTAAAATAAAACCTGGGAATTTTCGAACGGCTGCTTCAATTCTTCATCTGCAGCCCAAGACGGCTGAACTGGAAATTCTTGTTGATGAAGGATTTTTGGAGGGTTTATCACTTTATCTTTAACATACGACGCCGTTCGCTTGGCTGTAAGATTGCAGTTTCTAAGACCCCCTTATACTTGGTTAATATTGTATTATGATCCCTATATAAATACAAGACATTAAAAAATAAAAATAAATATAAAACGTTGAGCATACCATTAATGTAAATGGAAAAAAATTAATTTTTATTTTAATTTTTCATAAATATTACTCCGTAAATTGTAACTGCTAAATACATTTTTTGTATATTTATCCCAAAAATAATAATAATAATAATAATTTGAGAGTCATCGGGAGAGCTTAACTGGCCAAAGGTAATCCGTAATCCTCCTTGTGCAAAGTATACAGGCAAAATGTGGAAACTTGAAGATTGACCGGGTGAGTCATGATTTACCTCATCTAGCCGCATCATCTAGCTGCTCTTGTGTAAGGATTCTGAGAGTTTATGATCATTTTAGCTTAAGCTGAGATAATTAATCTCTTCTTCCATTTCATTTTATTATTTATGTGTTAAATTCCGTTAATGAGATTTGATTAAAGTTATTTTTAATTTAAATCTTTATAATATTAAATTTTAAAACAAATATTATTAAACATAAAAATTAAATTAAAAATAAGTAAAAGAAAAGAACTAATATAACCTGTGAATAGTAAATATGACATGTAAAATTAGATAGAAGTCATAGAAGAAGCACAAATTACAAATTGTAACACAACAGAGTAGTTCAAATGGCAAATGAGCTCTCTATTCCGGAATTCTCCTCTACAAGTGACGATTTTCTTTGGGCCAGTTCCTGTGCCTCTCGGAGCGAACGGAAATTAGTCGAGTGGACCTGAACCGTTAAACAAACAGAAAAAGATCCGGACCACCTCGTGATTTACACCAAAAAAAATAATTACAAATTGTAATTGTGAATTTTCCTTGTTACTAAAAGAAACATTATTGTATTGGAACTAGAAGTTGAAAGGAAATTTCATATTTGGAGTCATTACAAATTGTAAATGTCATATAGGAAAAGTTGCGTGGTTTTTCCGTCATTGACCGCTAACCCCTTGTCCAAGTTGGAATCTGCAAAATCAGACCTAAAAACTACAAATCCATTATTCTTTTTGACCTTTACAAATTACAATCATCTGAAAACCCTCTCTAAACCCTCAGCCGCCGCTATGGGAACGCCGGAGACTTCAAGGGAACCATGTCCCGATCGGATCCTAGACGACGTCGGCGGCGCGTTCGGCATGGGCGCTGTGGGCGGCTCCGCCTTCCACTTCGTTAAAGGCCTCTACAACTCTCCCAACGGCGCCCGGATGATCGGCGCCACCCAAGCCGTCCGGATGAACGCGCCCAGGATCGGCGGCAGTTTCGCCGTCTGGGGCGGCCTCTTCTCCGTCTTCGACTGCTCCATGGTCTACGTCCGCCAGAAGGAGGATCCGTGGAACTCGATCATCGCTGGAGCCGCCACAGGCGGCGTCCTCTCCCTGCGCCAGGGCCTCCGCGCCTCCGGGCGATCCGCCGCCTTCGGAGGCGTCCTCTTGGCTCTCATCGAAGGCGCCGGTATCATGCTGAACAAACTCACGAGTGTTCCGCAGGACGCTCCGATCTACGTCGATGACCCTATGGCACCCCCAGGTGGGGTCCAGCTGCCGAACGCCACCCAGGCGCCGCCGGAGTCTTCCTCGACCGCACCGTCGTGGTTCGGAGGATTGTTCGGAGGAAACAAAGAGGAAGATAAGAAGAGCAGCGGCGTGAAGACGGAGATTCTGGAGAGCTTTGATTCGCCCATCCCACCAACATTCGAGTTAAAGTGAAATTCCCTTCAAAAATTTTAGTTTTTGTTGTAGAACAATTGAAATTAGTTTTATTATGAGAATATTTGGGGGTTGGTCTGAAGAATCAGATTCAAGGCTTTAGTAGAACAGTAGCAAATGTATGTTGTCTTTCCCATCAACAATATATGAATTTTTGCAATTTTCAAACAGCTGAGAATTTGTAATTTATCTGCAAATAAATATGGCTTGTAAGAATCTGGGCAATCTTGAATATTGTTCATCTTGGTTGTGTATGCTCATATTGCTTTTTGAGTGAATGTTCATGGTATAATGCTCATGCCTCTCAAGTAAATCAAATTGAAGCTTAAGCTTATTGCATACATGAATTGCTTGTCATTGCTACACTGCAATTGTTATGCCGTGGACACGCGCCGTTTGGCAATTGTGGAGTAACGGTGTCATTAGTGAAAAGAAAGAAGACCGTTTGGTAACGGTGCTTTTAGTGAAAAGAAAGAAGAGAAGTGGATGTTAGTGAAAAGAAATAAGTGAGAAAGAAGGCCGATGTAGATGTTAGCGAAAAGAAAGAAAGAAATAAGTAAGGTCGTTGTGGATGTTAGTGAAAAGAAAGAAGTGGAGTAACGGTGAAGTAGGTGCTTTAGTAAAAAGAAAGTGAAAGAAAGTACTTTTCTGAAATCCCGGAGATGAAGATCCATCGTGGGTTGATGTCATTTGGAATTTTTCCGTTCTTTCTTTCGAGAGAGATAGCCCTCCTTTCACCTAGATAAATTTATGGAATCATCCAAAATTTGAAACGTGAAAAATAATGAGAATCTTTTGTTTCAGGCTCCATTTAAAAAAAAAAAAAAAAAAAAAAAAAAAAACCAATCGGGGTAATATGTCGATGATTTTTACTTATACCATAACTAATTCCTATATTTGAAAATCTATTGAAATAGATCCTCTTTATCAGGTACCTCAAACTTTAGTGAAAAGAAAGAATTCAGCAACATCAAAAATTGTGAATATAGAGTTCAAGAATTATGAATATAAAATTCAAAAATTATGAACATAGAGTTCTGTAATTGTGAATATAGAGTTCAATAATTATGAATATGAAGTTTAAAAATTATGAACATAGAGTTCTATAATTATGGACAAATACTGAAAGAAAACAATTTTTTTTAATTGACACGTAGAAACGACATTGTTTTGAAACCGTGTTCACCTTTCAAGCTGGATACGGTTCCACAGCATAATTTGCCGCTACAATGGGATAGTTATGCTGTGGAAACGTGTTCACCATGCGCATGGTAAACACAAGGGTAGATCCATAATTTCTATACTGTAGATTCATTATTTTTTTATTTTTTATTTTTTGAAAATGTAGATTCATAATTTTGTTTTTCATTTGTTATTAACCGGATAGATACATAATTTCTAAGCTGTATATACATAATTTCTATACTGTAGATTCATAATTTCTGTACTATAGATTTATAATTTCTATACTGCAAATTCATAATTTCTATACTATAGATTCATAATTTCTGTACTGTAGATTTATAATTTTTGTACTGTAGATTCATAATATCTGTAACAACAAATGAAAAACAAAATTATGAATCTACGTTTTCAAAAAAAAAAAAAAACAAATTATGAATTTATATTATAAAAATTATTGATATACCACTGTGTTTACCATGCGCATGGTGAACACATTTCTACGGCATAATTTATCCGCTACAATGGCGATGGAGTTTTTTTCATCCTCAACCCAATCGTTATGATGTGCATCCGTATGCACCATGCATGGTGCATACGGATGCCAAAACGACGTCGTTTTATTAAAAAACGCGCGTCTCCCCTTTAAAAAAAATTCAGGTTCGATTCCCAGCAACAACATTATATTGTTCATTCATTCTGGAATTTTAGTTCATAGATTATGAAATTATAGTTCATTGATTATGGAATTATAGTTCATCGATTATGGAATTGTAGTTCATCGATTCTGAAATTTTAGTTTATAGATTATGAAATTTTAGTTCATTCATTCTGGAATTATTTTTAGTTCATAGATTAGATTATGAAATTATAGTTCATCGATTATGGAATTATAGTTCATCGATTATGAAATTTTAGTTCATATGTTGTTACTGGGAATCGAACCTAATTTTTTTTTTTAAAGGGGAGACGCACGTTTTATTAAAACGATGTCGTTTTTACATCCGTATGCACCATGCATGGTGCATACGGATGCACAGCATAATTTGCCGCCTCAGCCATGGCATAAAATGGTCCATTCCTGTTATGGGCCTATAGAAATAAACCAGCCCATCATGTGAGTCCAAAGTTCAAACAACACACCCATTAATTGTCTCTCATAATAAGTCATAACATCGTGATAGATGGAAATAGGATCTCCATAGCAAATTTTATTGTCTACCACAATCCATGTAGCAGCGTGGATCATGTAGTAAAAACAACGTGGTATCATTCTAATTACACTTCAATTTTATTTGACAATATATATTATTATATGAGCTCTGTTTTTTAGTTTCGTTTTTCACACACTAATTTCATAATAGTAATATTAAAGTATATTTTAATTACACTTTAACTTTACTTGACAATAAACGCAATCATTATTCCGTGCACCATGACTAAAATGTAAATTTTTATTATACTAAAGGTACATTGTTTCTGTACTGAATGTACATTATTTTGTATATTATTAAATAATGTATATTTATAAAATAGATACTACCATGTAAAGAATTATAAGTATTTCCAAAAAAAAAAAAAAGTATATTCAATACATAAATAATGTACCTTTAGTATATTAAAAATGTACATTTTATTCATGCTTCGCAAAAAAAGTTGTCCAATATATATTATTGCATGACTTTTATTTTTTGTTTTACTTTCCATACACAATAGTTTCATTATAGCAACATTAAAGTATTATTTTAATTATATTATAATTTTTTTGACAACACACACACATATATATATAACTATAACGTGATACATTATTGGTTCACAATAATCTATATATATATATATATGTATATATATATATATATATATATATATATATATATATATATATATATATATATATATATATATATAAAAGTAAAATCTTCCTAACAAATTTTCCCCCAAAACTTTTGTAGTAAAACTTATTTGGTAAGTAAATGTCAAATGGAAAATAAATAAATAATAAATAAATAAATAAATAAATAAATAAATAAATAATAATAATAATAATAATAATAATAATAATAATAATAATAATAATAATAATGTTATATACCTTAAATAAATAAATTATTATACTTTCCCTTAAATAAATAAATTATTATACTTTCCTTTTGAATTAGTATTTTCTACCTATAAATACAATGGCTTCTTCAATCAAAGAATCTCAGACTCATCTCTCTGCTTTCTTTTTGTATAAATTTTTTACATTTTTCTAACTATATTCTCACGTACTTCAATATGTTTTGCAGTTTCTATCATCTGATATGAGTTTGAAGATACTTAAGGAGGCCCCGCTTCAACAAAAGGAAATTGAGGAGGAAGAGCATTTGTAACAGAACCCTATTGGTTTAGTTTTTATGGAAGATTGTAGAGATGCGATCGAGGATGATAAAGACGGTAATTTTGATAATTTTGTAAGATTTTCTGAAACTTAGAGTTAGTATGTTGACTTCGAGATTTGTATATGCCATTCAAGTTTCTATATTTTTTTTACCAAGCAGAGTTCATTTTACAGCATTTTTATAATATATATATATATATATATATATATATATATATATATATATATATATATATATATATATATATATATATATATATATATATATATATATATATCACAACTTGAGTAGAGTGTTTGTTTAACCTATTAAAAATCTCGCTATATTTGATTTTTTTCTAAATTTGTGTAAAACACAAAAATAATGATTATTTAAAAAGAAGAAATAAATAACAAATACAATTTCAAATTTTGTGTTACTCCATTCACATATTAGTATAAATAAATAAAAAGTAATAAAATAAAATACAAAGGAAATATAAATTTTTAACCAAAAATTTAATTAGAGAAACCTCCCAAAAAAATCCACGTTGTACTGAACCCAAATAAAAAAATACTGGCAATGACACAATCATAAGGATCAAAGGGAACAATGGAAGACCCAGACATCCAGACATCATTGATGTACCGAACGGTGATGAGAGACTCAGAAATAGGAATATCATTATGAATGAAAACGGAGATTTTCTTGACACCCGAATTTAGTTTAAGGAGAAGTTTACTCTTGAGTACAAATGTCTCCTCAATGGATTTTGTATGGACGTATAGAGTGTATTTATACACCATGGATGAGTTCAAAATAGCACAATATTGAAATTATAAAATGGTAAGAGATCTCAAAAAAGGTAAAACTTTCAAATTTTCAGTTAGTACAAAAAATGTTATAATCGCCGAAAATATATATCTTTAACTTTAGACAAAAATTAAAAATGAAATCATAAACAATTTTAATAATTGACTATTTCATTTCTATGTTTCTTGAAAAATGATGGGCATGAACAGGCTGACTCATCGTGAAATATAATAATTAATGAATTACCATTAAAATTAGTATAGTAGTAAAAGAATTATCATTTGTATGTTGACATTTTCTCCCGTTTATTACCATTCAAATGTTTGATACCAAAAATTATACTATATAAACACAAAATATGCATGTGTGGTAAATATGCAATATATATATATATATATATATATATATATATATATATATATATATATATATATATATATATATATATATATATATATGCCCCTAAGTTTTGGGGATAAACTTGGTTAGGAGGATTTTACTTTTAATTATATATAGATATAGATTATTCTCATAATTTTTCTTTCCTTCTTTTGTGTTATTATTATGGTAATTTTATGCTAATGTATTTAAATATTGGAAGAAAACAAATGTTATAATTAATGAAATTATTGTGGTAATTGCCACAATATTTTGTAATTTAATTAATATAATTAATGAAATTGAGAAATATATGATTTCTTCCGTAGACATATTTGTGACAATTACATTAAATTATAATTAATAAAATATGAAATATAATTAAAGAAATGAAATTATAAAATGAACAAAACATGAATATTTATAATTTTTTT